CCAAGCGCGAGGCTAGAGAGGATTCAAAGACCGATACTCTGGAGCCCGCCTGGGTTTGGTCCTCGTCCTCCAAGCGCGAGGCTAAAGAGGACGCAAAGAACGAGGTCCCTGAACCAGCCTGGGTCTGGTCTTCCGGCTAGTTCAATCAAGAACAGGAGTGAAAAAGGACTTCATGTCCCTTTGACCAGCCAGAATAATGGAACGATTCAAGAGATATGCCATGAGCTTCAGCCCGAGAGAAGAAATCTAATGGGACGATGATTTGTTGATGATGATGCGATTTGGATGGTTTTGTTTTACGTACATCTATCTTGATTTCTGAATCAGAACTCATTGAAATTGTGAATTTCGCACAAGCTACCAGGAAATTGTGTTAAGTCCATAGGGAAGCTTGTCTCCTGTAACTACAATAATTCATCCCTAGACCAAGATAGATCTCGCTGTTCTCTTCCTCGTTGGCAACAGAAGTACCAAAGTCTCCAAGAGAATAACGCGCTTCTAACGTATGCCGCATAAAATTTCAGCAGCCGCACATAAATAAAAGAAACCTGTTGAAAGCTCATCTCTTTCAATTGAGCCACCCGGCATTGACTATTAATAAAGATATTGCCTGCTACACAAAATATCGAATCACGCGTTTACTTTGTTTTCCTTGAATTTCTAGCTCATTTTCTAGAATTGTATCAAACTAGCAGCTAATTAGGCCATTAGAGGGGCTTTGGCGCAGTTTTCCACGTAACTTGGGTATAGAGGGTGCTTGAGGCAGCAGTTTAAGAATTTAATGTACAAAAAGCTACATCTTCAAGATTTTGGCTTGTACGCGGCACCAGACGGCGAATTAAGGCGAAAAGGAATTGCAAATTGTATGCTAGGCATCGTGTTAAAAAGCAAAAGATATTTGAATCTTGCTTGCTTTGATATTATAATGTTCGTAGGTATCGACCACCTTACCAGAGGGTTACCAGCTCAGCCTTGGCACTGCCACTTCCATGCAGAGTCCAGCCCTGATTTCCGATCATCCATGGAAATTATGCTGCCATGTCAGATTGTATTTTCTTTCCTGTTCGATCTGAAACTGACGCAGTAGTTCGAAATCAATACAGTCATGCTCAACTCCCCATCCAGTGACGGAAGTAGCATGCCCTGTTGGAACAAGATGATTAGAATAGTCTAGGACAACAACAAATGACAAAGAGGATTGAATTTACCCTTTCCAACTTTTATTGGGCTTGATCCCTCTATAATAAGATCTCCTCCACAGGAAATCGCTTGCCGAAGATATTCGAAGCAATGCAAGACATGCAGGTTCCATTTAACCGCATCATGTTCTGTATCGAGGTCGACACCGTCACGAGCCTGCCAAAACTGGAAGCGAACCATGTTCTGCCCCTTATAGTTAGACAAATTCTCTAGTCCGATTCCATTATTCACCAACATACTAGGCAGTGCAGCTGGTGGAGGATCGAGATCACATAGAAATCATGTTGCGGAGGATCAGTTTTGTGGGGATGATCGAATGGCGCGACGATGCCCTCGGGCAAATTCCACTTTTTGGGGTCCTCAATCCAGACGGCATCATGCCCTATAGATAAGGAAGGTGAATAAACAATAAATATGGAAGGGATGGGTGAGCTGATCTCACCAGCTACCAAGTCATCCCAATGGTGGTCCACTTCTCTCGAATTTCCAACGTATCTCTCATCCGGTTGGAATACCTTTCTCACTGGCTCAAACACGTCCTCCGGAATAGGGGTGAATGTCTCGAGCTGGAACTTGCGATTGGGTGTTGGAGCAATAGTGGAAGATTTCCAATAAAGAATTGTAGTCGTAGTCCACCCAGTTGCGAGAATTGAGATCACAACGTATAGGAGAAGATTCCAATTCCTATGCTCTTCAAGATCCGAAACTGATGTGTCTTCTCCATCATTGTTGTTTATCTCTCGATACTTCAGATCCGACCCTCTCAGCATCAAGGGCCACATGGTGTCAGTCACTATGAGAAAACAGAGGAGCAGAGGTAAAGAAGGTAAGGGTATTCAAACGAGCAAGAGAACCAAGTTTTCCCAAGATTGGTAACAATCTGGCAAAATTGAGAAAGGATTGGCGCATTTCATCTGATTTCCACTTAATAAGACGCCAAGTTTGGAGTTCCAAATCATGCTACATAAAATTGCATCCTATCCCCCTCCGCTGATCTTGAATTTTCTTATCCAGTTGTGCCAACTTCACTGAAGTAAGGATAGTACGAAAAAATGGTACAGAAATTGGGCCCTGTCCTGCGACCCAGATTTGCATCAATGCAAAACGCCCTGCGGAATGTTCATGTGCCCACTTATTGGTCATGTCATTAGGCCATCCGTGCAAATCAAAAAAGTACCTCATGCTGTACTACAAGTGGTCTGAATGTATTCATGTGGGGGGTCTCAAAGCGCAGTCACTTAAGGGTGTTTATAGATCGGACCGGAAGAGGCATGGAGTGCCAATACACTTTGGGTGGGCTAGAATTTGACTGGTTGTGGGGAATATTCGACATGCATATGCAACTGTGTGCCCAGGTGGTATGCAGAACGCAGATGAGCTCGGCTCTTGCTCAGCCTCGGGATTCAGTGACGAACTCTACAACATGGAAAGTGAGTTCACATGTGTCCCACTTTGGTTCGGCGTAATTAATTTTCGAGGCAGATTGGAACTTGTTGTTTATTTCTTTCCCACTTGTTTTCAATGGCAGAAGGCTATTTTGCATAAAATAATATATATCAATGTCTTCGTATACTATCCATATACAAATACAAACACTAACTATATCAGGAACTAACGAGCTTGCTTAAAGTGGAAATATACAAAGTGGGGGGTTGAATGTTTTGTAATTTGAGTACGATGTATTGTATTACCATTTGAAGCTTTCAAGTACGTAGGATAAATTACACATAACGGTTCTGCCATCAAATTTACCATACTTCTCTGCGTTGTTGTATTCATCAGGACAAGGTTGTATTCTAAATGTTTGCAAATTCTTCATCCCAGAGTCATACCACAATTATATATGCACAACTACTATGTAGACATTTTGAAAACCTGCCAACGCAGGATACAAGTAACCAAGAGAACGATACACCAGATTTTGATTGTCACTGCATTAATTTAGGCAGATGGTGTAGGCTTCAACGCTCTGTTTTCTGAAACTTTGTCAAGCTTATGAATTTGCTCAATGGCCATGTCCAGCATGTGGCCCCTCATCGAAATTATTCAGGTCGCCAGGTGTGTGCGTGAGTCTACCACCGGTATATCCAGACCCGCGCACTTTATTTGACCGATGCTCATACGCCCAGGAAAATATCTTATCGAAATCACGGCACTGATGAACAGCTCCCATGCCATTGATTCCCACGTCACTCATGGGCTCAAAAGTGGGGTCTGCATGGCACATGAGAACTTGTCGGATATAGTCAAGGCAGTGATCGCGGTGGAATTTAACTTCTTCCTCATCCATATCCTTCAAGGATGAGGGGTAATATGCAAATCGTAGGAAGTTCTATGCGGGAGGTTAGAACTTTCCAGGTTGAGACTGCACGTCTTAATTATGAAACCAGGAAGACTTTGCATTCATACCAGGCAGTGTAGCTGGTGAAATACGGATACACCGTAGACCAGCATAGTCTCTGGATTGTTTGGGGCGGGTAGGGACTCGGGGAGGTTCTTTGCAGCTGCAATCGGAAGTTCCACGATACCATCACCAGCTAACATCCGATTAAGGTCAGTTGTGACCCTATGTCTTAAGTTGGCAAAAAAAAAGTGGTTCACTTACGGGGAGAAAGTCGCTTCCACATCTCATCTGTCTTGTTTGACGGCGGTCCGCCGAAATAAGAATGAGGTTGGAAAGTAACCCGGCTCGTATATTGCACTGCGATGTAGAAACAGGTTAATCAGCCAGTTCTTGTCTCTCCACCCGTTGTTCTCGAGAAAAAAAAGGGTTGGATCCTTACAATCTTCCTCGAATTTGGTTGTCCACGATTCCACATCGCAATAACATTCCTGAGACTTTGTCGCCAATATGCCGACAGCCCACAGGCCTATAGAAGTGAGAAACAGAAGAGCATTGAGGCCAATTAGCCAATTCCGATAACTGCAAATCTGCCTTTCCCGTAATGATCGAGAAGATTTTCTGGAGTGGTAGTTCCAAGGGTCGGCACGAGGAAGTAGCGTTGAGCTCGAATCACTTCGGCCTGACTCGAGAGGGATTTCCTTGTCTGACTCATAACCATCATGTGCGGCCATTTTGATGTTCAAGGGGAGAGATAAGATTTTGCACCGAAGTAGAAAAGAATGATGGATGTTGATGGCAAAAATATAGACAAGAGAATACACCACCCGGACAGCGTGATGAAATAGCGGAACCACCTACATGCGCACGCAGTCACCCTGCAGGTTGCATAATCACTTGAACTTATTTAACACCATTTGATAGCAGTCGATACAGATAGATTTCAGGCCGCACTTTGTGGTTTTGCCTTTCCGGTTTACTGCTCACCCCTTGCCGCTTTTCCATCAGCCAAGTAGATCGATGTACTCTAGTCTCATTCCAATTCTTCCGCTCAGTCCGCCTGCAGTCTCGTAACCCTGGGGCAAAGTGGTGCAGATCCCAGGTGATACATCAAAATTGCAGGTGATGAGGTAATACAAGGAAAGATTGAGAAATTCAAGGATAGGGCTACATAGTCGTTTTCGGGGCAAAAATTGGTCAATTTGATACCCCAAATTCGTAGCAAACTGAAGATTCAGAAGTTCGATGAGAGGGGGTCAACCCGCAACTCGTGCCGATATATAAACCGAGGAGAAATCGTCAACTTCTATTTGCTGAATGAAATCTCTTGATCGTGACAAACATTGAAAGGATGGTATATGTAGGCTTTTGCCCCCACTAGTCTCTTCTCGCCTTTCCTCGCCTTTCAGTAGAGCGTTTCCATTTTAAACTATACGGAGGGTCCGATGTGTCGAAGGCAAATGAATGAATCGATCATCTAAGCTTCGAACCCCAGCAGGCTGTCTCTATCAACCTTTGAAGGGCTAGTTGCTTCTCCCTTGGCTTCATAAATCACAAAAATCGGTGAAAAAGCCTTGCAAACGCATGCTCTCGCTAAACGGCTGGTATTTGGTGGATTATCCGATCGCGTGTGGCCAAATTCTTTCAACGAAAACACAAGTTCCACTCAACCTGCGCCAGATCGGTGTCAGATCAAGTTTTAACCGAACACAAAATTGGCGTCGAATGGAAATGAAAGAAATAAGGCAAGCAATCTTAGCATTTGGCTGGTGTTAGCCCCATTCCTCTCCATGCATCGCCTATTCTGGCCTATGAAGTGTGCCATGACGTTGGTCGTACTGGTCAATCTTTTCTTACTTATCATCCACTTTTTGGATTCCCATATGTGTTTTCAATCATCTTGATGTATAACTTGAAGATATGACCCACCGTTTTTGCTCCCTTTGTGGACAGTATTGTTCCATCGATTAGTTGATAGACATTTGATTTTGTATGTTAAGTAAAAACTAAACGCTCCATGCCTACTACAAGTTAGATAAGAGAGACGTCTGTCCCTAACTTAGGTGGTACAGCTATCTAATAAGATATGCACTAAGACCTTTATGGGTACCTCCATATGTGAGATGCGCCCCGAGGGTCGAGGCACCTGACGTCTTGGTCCACGAGTTCTCAGTGATGACATGGGGGTGTACAGTACATAGCGTAGTGGGAGACATAGCCCTCTAGTACACAATTGCCCGACCCATACTCTCTTGATTTTCCACTTTTTCGGTAAGTCGTGATGAAGAACTAGAGAAAAAAGGAAGTAGATATTTACAAATTGAGAATACACACTCCTACACCTCTCTGAAATCACTTCTTGTCCAGTTCTCCTGAGTCCTTTTGTATGCGGGATTGGGTATGAAGCTGAACTGCGAGTGCTGAAATGACCCGGACGCCTCAGAGCATACAGCCATGAGCGTTCCCCGCTTCAATGGATAAACCTTTGACGGCAACGATAGCGAATAAGACAAAAGGACCGGGTAAACTTGATACCCAATGAGATCAGGAGTGCAACACCCGGGACAAGCAACTCCCGGGGTAACGGACATAACTACGCAGGTAGCAAACCGACAGCCTTATTTAAACAACCCCCATTTTTCTTCGCCATCAACTGTGAAAGTTTGCAATAACAGGACCACAAGATGGGTGCTCTATCGAAGACCCTCCCACAATTGGCTTCCTCCAAGCTCTTCATCACGGAAGGCGGAATTGAAACAAGTCTTATCTACAGAAAGAACATCGATATCCCAGGCTTCTCCACTCTTCCCCTGCTCGGTACGGAGGAGGGCAGAAAAACCATTCTCTCCATCTATCAAGACTATGTAAAAATTGCCCTCGCCCACTCAACCGGCATCGTCCTCGAAACTCGAACTTGGCGCGGCTCTCCTGCATGGTCTTCCACAATTGGCCTCTCCGTTACGCAAATTGTCGATCTGAACCGCATAGCAGTGAGGATCCTCCGTGACCTTAGACACAAGGCTGAGACCCCATCCACTCCTATTGTCATCAGTGGGGCTCTTGGGCCTCTTCAAGATGCCTACCAGGATTCCACGGGCAGGTTTACCTTCTCTCAGGCGCGGGAGCATTACGGTGCTCAGATTCGCGTTTTCGCTGAGGAAGGGGTGGATATGTCAAGTATCATGACAGTAACGAATCTGGATGAGGCCACTGCCGCAGTGAGTGTGGCGCGTGAGTATAATCTCCCTATCCTCGTCTCGTTTAGCATTGAGACGGATGGACGGCTGCGAGGAGGGAGAACACTGGAAGATGCGATTCGAGAAGTTGATCGTGTGACGGATAATTATACGACGTATTTTGGAGTGAATTGTGCTCATCCCCGTCATGTAATGATAGCATTGCGGGGTATGTCCGAGGATGTGATGTCGAGGATCGGGTCGATTCGAGGGAACTCAAGTCTTAAGTGTCACGATGAGCTGGATAACTCGGGGGTGCTAGATCGGGGAGATATTCCGGTGTGGGATCAAGAGTTCAATGGGCTTTTGAATATCTTGCTGGGATTGAAAGTGATAGGGGGTTGCTGTGGCACGGATGAAGAGCATGTCGAGACAATTGCGAAACGAATTCATTCTGTCAGTTGTTAAAAGACCAGTCGACCAAGCACCTACGAGCTTGGGCATACTCCTCTGCTAACCGAATTGTTTTTTTTTGGATCATTTTTCTCTCAATGTTTGAGAATGGACATCGGTAATCTATCTCTTTTGGGTCGTTTTGGTTTTTAGATTAATTTGAAACAAGTCGACCGCTTGTATGGTGTCGCCGTGTTGTATCCTTTTAGATTAGAATGCAAACCCTTTGATGCGACGAGGAGCAAGGAGCAACAAATTTGGTAAAAAAAACTTCAGAAGATGTAACTACGATGGACTGTTAAAGTGATCTCTTTGCCTTGTACTCTCCGCCTACTAGCAAGTTGGAGAGGGCCGAACTCATTTTCCCATGCGAACATCCGGAGTACTCCGATCCATTTACTCCGTAAAGGTCCTTGGCATCTAGACTCTTCAAGAGCTCACCTGTCTCACTT